ACATTTCCCACCATCCTCAGCATTGGCAAAGCAGCGCCACTGAACTGAGGATCACTGGGAGACATGATTTCCCAGGTGATAACACTCAGAAGTCTACATGCAAAACCCGACAATCACTGGAGCGTGTAACTTGTTCTTAAAAGCACAGGAACACTTACCTGAATGCATGAGTCTTTAGAATTGGAATTTAAAAGCCAGCAATGCACTGCACGAATGTTAATATTGGGAAGAAGGAACATTTCTATAAAGGAGAGACTGAGTTTCAGGGAGAATGTCTGAAAATCCAGGTGTCAGAGAAACCAGGGTCTACCAGAATCACAGGACATAGTGCAGCACCTCTGGGGGAAGATACTGAAATGACAATGAAGAAAAGCATGTTGCAAGAGGCTGCAGAGAGAGGGTTTGGAGAAGGATGAGCTTGATCCTGGTTTACAGTGTAGGAAGCAGACACCTGGAGGGGGCAAAATCCATTCAGTCTGGAGATAGAGAGGCTACCCTGGTACCCAACAGTTCATTTGGTTAACAGCTGGGTCCTCAGTTCTCTGAGGCTGACAGGATTCTTTCCTTGTGCTGACTACCTGGTGAGCAGCATCATGGTTCTGATACCAGAATTAGAAATCAGGATCAGGTCCTTGGTCCTCCAGTGTTGATGATTAAACACCTGTGTAACACTGAGGCAGAGTAGAAAGCAAATTTTATTTAAGAGACAACAGAGAAAGAGAGAGAGAGAGAGAGAGAGAGAGAGAGAGAGAGAGAGAGAGAGAGAGAGAGAGAGAGCGTCATTCCTCTGGAGAGGAGCTGGGAACCCAGAGATGGAGCCCTGGGAGTGGGGTGTCTTGCATTTTTATAGATGTCAGGTTTTTTATCCTTTCCTCTTCCTTCTCTTCCTATCATGCCTACATGACCAAAAGGCAGGAACAAAGCTGCCCAGGGGGGCAATTCCTTGTGTTGGAGAGTGTGACTCTTCCCTCCCTTGGAGATGTTAGCAACTGCTTGATGGGGAAGTGCTCTCTACCCATTTCCTTTTCTTTGATAATCTGGCTACCTGTCCTTTGCCCTGGTCTCAGATCTTGGGTTGGAATTCCCAGAGACCCATAAAGTGAAGTCATTTCCAGAGTCATTCTGATCTATCAGGTGTCTATAATGCTGTGTCCCTGACTAGATTTAAACCCCTTCAGGGAAGATACCAAGTCAGACTGGTACCTTGCTCCCTATAGCCTCATCCTTGCCTGGTATACGGAAACTGCTTCAGAGTTCTGTAGACAAAACAGAGATACAGATAGATGTATAGTACATGATGGGTGGATGGACAGTTAGTGGATGGATGGAAAGAGAAAGATTCATGGGCTACCCAATGTGTTCAGGTGCACACAGATGTGTGCCCAGGAGCTGGAGAAACAGTGAGCATCCATGTACTGAGTGCCTACTATGAGTGTATGCACATTATTTCAATTTCTGAAAAGTCCTCAAAGTTAACTGTAATTCTATGAATTTTCAGAAAAGAAAATTGAGAGTCAGAAAATTAAACAATCTCAGCTCTTGGGTTTTCACATCAGAGGTTCCAAGTGAGACACAAGACTTAGTGAAAGTAAAAAAGAAGAAAGAGAAAGACTTTCACTTTCCATGAGGCTCAGTTAAAGAGAAAGGGAGTGGGAGAAGCACCTTCAGGGGAGAGAGAGGGGAAAGAAACAAGGAACTTCTTTGTGTCCCAGGTTTTACTTGGGTGGGAGGAAGATTGTTAGAAGGTCCCACCCAGGTATTGCCTCTGGGCTCTGGATTGACAGATTATAGTACCTGACAACAAAGGGCAACTCTTGGTCACCTTGGCCTGACTGACAGGTCTTCATTAAATCTAGCTTTATAGAATTTAAGGTCAGGGGGCTGCAGTCTAAATCATCCTGCTTTTCTCAGCCTGAAAATCTCTGGTGTGTGTTGTTTGTGTAGGTTTTGTTGAAGATGTCTTAGCAGGTAAGCCCTCTGAGCAAACATATCCTTGCCGTTTGCCTTTTGGCCCTCAAATTCATCTATCTTCCTCCATTTGTAGGAGGAATAGAGCTGAGACCAGGCAAAAGGTCCTGATTTAGCCATCTTGTTATCAATTGCAGCTCCAGTGAGGCAGGGCTGTTGATGAACCATGTTGTTCTGTATTGAGTATTTTCCTAAACTCTGACCCACTGTTCATGCCTAACTCTTGTTTAACAGTCATAGAGGGGACATTCACAACTAGGCACTAACCATGAGTGAGGAAACTCCCACTTTCTGTGCACCCAGCAAAGCTTCATGGGGACCTCTGTCCCAGGCTTGGCCTGGCCTCTGGAAACTTCACATTCAGAAGCTGGAGAAAGTCACTTAGAAGAAAGAGCACCATAATAGAGCCTTATGTAAGGTAAAACTCACTTCCCTGTGTAACAGGATCCTTAGTCAACAGCTGGAGAAAGCCCAGTGTAAGGATTTGAATCACTTGAATCATGTGACTCTGTGAACCTTTGTTCTGAGCAACTGAAGGCACCTGGCAGCTGGGTGAGTTTCACTCTCCTTCCCTTGTGCTGACCATGCCTCCTCCATTTCCCTCCTGATAAAGAACAATGGACTTCCCAACAGACTAAGAGTTGATTCAGTGTTTCTAAAGGAGTTAAAGGTTAGATTTTTGTGTGACACATTTTAAAATATGGATATTTAAAACACTTTGATACCTAAAATTCAATCACACACAATTTTTCAGAAGTACTTCTAATGGTAAAGACAAGTATATTCTTGTGTTAAACTCAATGATAAAACTTTGCAAGAAGACAGAATGTTTTATAATAGAACTTCAGATGAAATGTAACCGTCTTCCCTTGAAGTCCTCTCATTAGGACTCCTGCTTTCAGTGAGTCTCCTGTGATTGTATTCACACTCATGACAGTAAAGTCACCTCAGTTCCAGGAGCCACTTATTTTCATTCTCTGAATCTTCGCTGTGCTCCACCCCCTGAGAGCCTGAGACACAGCCAGGGCCATTGAAGCTCCTTCACTGGATGCCATCAGTCTGTCTAGTACCACTTACAATGGCCATCTGAGCACACACATGCACACACTCCTATGCACACTCCATACACTTAACTGAAGTGAAACCCTCTCCAAACATTGCTTACCCTTTCCACACCCTGATATTTGCTGTTCCTTTCTGATTCATTTACAAAATTAATGGGTCTCACAATCCACAGAAGGATTGCTTTGCATATTTTGAAAATCAATGACAGAAATTCAAGCCTAGACTTTGGTTTTGAACAAAGGTGAGTTTGACCTCTGGTCCATCACTTCATATGGGCAAGTTCTTATAGAAATCACATCATCCCCAACTATAAAATGATCACATTCTATGAGGTCCCCTGAGGATTAGTTTCTTTTTTTCTTCTTTTTTTTTTTTTTTGAGAGAGAGAGAGAGACAGAACCCAGGCCGCACGCATGCCAGGGGAGCACGCTACCGCTTGAGCCACATCCCCAGCCCCAGGATCAGTTTCTTTTAGGTTAAACTTGTGATAAATTTGTGACATTTTCAGGGCGTGGCTAGCATTGAATCATCAAGTGAATGTAGCACCATCCCTTTGCTAGATCACACAAAAAGCTGTAGAGTGTGGCATTCCAAAAAAGAAAGGAATCAGCAACCTCTGCCTCTGGGAGGAACTGGGACCTTGTGAGCTATAAGTGAACAAATCCTGAGCCCTCATTTCTACTTCTGATGCAATGCAGCCTAACAGCCAAAGGACTGAACAGTGACTTTGCTCTTCTTGGTCCTTGCTGTTGGTGGCATCCTGATTTCAGAGCCTTCACAAATTCTCAAGGCCTTCACCTGTGTGGTTCTAGACCCTCCTTGTTATTGTTCCATGTTGTGATTTTTTTATGTCCCCTGGTGACTTTGGTGTGACTGGACATTACATTTCACTTCCATGAGGGTCAGTTTCATTAACTGAAGAGTGCAGACTAAATACAACTGGTGCCCAAAGCTGTGTGAATATTAAAAACATGATGTGTCAAATGAGGTTTGTATTGGGGTAGGTCCTGGCAGTTTTCAATACATTTTGGTTCTCTAGTTCTTTCTCTTCCCACTAACATCTTCTACCATCCACAGTGACCATGAGCCTGCCAAGAACAGTCACATTTTAACCAATGGGGACATGAGACTGGTTTGTTGCATTATGAGGGTGACTACTGATGGGTGACCATTGGACCTAGGAGTACATTTGAAGAACTTCTCTGACCCTGCCACAAAGGAGGCAGGTCCTTCTTCAGTGCAGCCTGCTCTACCATACACCTTAAAGTACCTCTTTTGATATGATGATCTGGAAACCTTTAATCCCTTTTCACTGCTTCCCCTGGAAAAGGCCAGTGACTCAAGGAAAATTGCTGGGGAAAAGAAAAAAGATGTATTGAAAATGTAGCAAATCAAAGGCTACTTCCAACAAAGACCATGTTGCATAGGATTACAAGTGCAAGGCTTCTACTGGGAGTTGTGAGAATTGCATCACAGAAGCAGGTGCCAGATTAGTTACACATTCCAGTGTACTTAAAAATTTGGGGTGGCCTGCTTTTTTTGATGCATGAATTGCTGTTGGCATAGGTCACAGGATGTTCTGGGTTCTGTAAATTGAAAGAAAATTTGCTGATTAGAAAGTCATATGTTCTTCTCTTTTTAGTTACTTTCCCCAGGAATAGCTCCTTTTGCATTTTTAGGATACACAAATTTATTTCCCCCACAGATCAGGTGAGATGGAAAAAGCATCTTTCCCCTGAAGGTCAAGGGGGTGATAACATTCTCTGAAGAACAATTTTTAAATCCCTTAGGTGGCCTCGGTCAGAGTTGTCTTCTACTTGCAAATTTAACCTAAGACTAACAATGTGTTGCCCAACTTTGTGAATCAAAAATTAGTCATTTTTTAAAGCCAACGAAGATCAAGTGAAGCTAAAGGGTTTGTTTAGATTTTGCCATAGTGACAGTTTCATTTGCTCACACACATTTAGGAAAACCCCACACTGCTATCATGGCAGGGAAACCCATTCTTCACTACTTTGATGGACGGGGCAGAATGGAGCCCATCCGATGGCTCTTGGCTGCAACTGGTGAAGAGGTAAGTTCTGGGTCAAGTCATTTTAAGTTGGATCTAATATTCACTGTTACTAGATACTTTCCTCACATCAGCTAGGTGATATTTCTTACTGGTTACCATGTCATGAGTTGTGCCTTAAACAAAACTGCCAATTTTAAGAGATTCACAGACATAACCAAATAAATTGTCAGTATTCTCATCAAAGAGGATAAACATTAAAGTAAAAAATATATCACAATTTATGGAAGTTATCTGGATTTGTGTTTAAACAAACTGTAGAACATAATTTATAAAACTTATAAAAATTAGAAACATGATCATTGAATATTGATGATAGTAAATTATTATTAATGTTTTTGTTATTAGGAACTATGTTTAAAAATAACTTGGTATAGTTCTATATTTTAGAGAATCTAATTAAACTATCTAAGAACGAAACACAGTCTTGTGTCTTGAACAATGAAGACACAGCCTGAGAAACCTGGCATTGGACAATTTTGTTGTGCAAACATTATAGAGTGTACCAACACAAAACCAGAGGGTATAGCCTACTATATTGTGGGCTATATTGTGTGGCCTGTTGTTGGAAAGTCACACACCTGTATGTCATGATACTGTACCGAATACTGTAGGCAATTGTAACACAATGATAAGCATCTGTATATCAAAATGAAAAACATGCAGAGTAAAAGTATGGTATAAAATATGAAAAATGGGAAACCTAATTTCAGTACTCTACCAGGCCTAGAGTTTACAAGGTCTGGCAATTCCTCCAAGTGAGTCCGTGAGCAGGTATTGAGTCAAAGTGAAGGCCCAGGTCACTACCTAATGCTGTGATTTGGACTTGAAAAGTTCATAAAGGCCCATGTTTTAAAGGTAAGGTGTGTTCCTAGCCTGAGGCACCATTGGAAGGCAGTGGAATTATTTGGAGGTGGGGCCTAGTGGGAGAAGTTATGTCCTGAGGGCTTGCTTTTGAGGGGATAATGGGAATGCAGCCCCTGTGTCTCTCTTGGTTTCCTGATAGCCAAGATGTGAGCAGTTTGTTCCACCACATGCTGCCTGCCATGCTGTTCTGCCTTGTCAACAAGCAACAGGGCCAAATGATCAGGGACCAAAACCTCTGAAACAGTGATAAGCAAAATAACCTGTCCCTCTTAAAAGTTGATTATGTTAGGTATTCCTTAAAATAATGAAAAGCTGATTTAGCACAATGCACATTTTATGAATCTGCACACACAGGCTACACTCAGTTTATTAAAATGTTTTCCTTCCTCAATAATAAATGAACCTCAGTTTACTGTAAATTTTTTTTTGACAAATTTTTAAATTTTTTAACCTTTTGACTCTTTCATAATAACACTTAAAACTGAGACATATTATGCAGATGTATAAAATATTTTTATTCCTTATTCTCTTAGCTTTTTCCATTTTTAATTTTTATTTAATTGTATTTTAAAAGATTCTTCTGTTACAAGAAGCAAACACAGATTCAGAATTAACAATATCTCTGTCTTCTACCTCCCCATGGTGTTCCACTGGAAGGTTTTGGGGGCAGTAACAGGCATATGCGGTCCTGTCCCCTCCCATGATCACTGTACCTTCTTCTGGTCTAGCTACTAAGGACATTTCTGAAGCTTCTCCTGTGGAGGCATCACTGTGCAGAAATATGTGCATGGTGGATTGCTTGATTTGCTTTTTTTCATTATATATATTTGCTTGGAAGCAGGTAATGTACCATGAAAAGTCCTCCCTATTAATGAAACTTAGTCATTCATTTGGAGGTTATGTTTTCAATTTTTTTAAAAAAATTGTTTTTTATATAAGCTATTCTCAGTGATCACAACTTTTTGTTTTGTTTTGTTTTTATAGTGCTGGGGATTGAACTCAGGGCAGTGTGTAAGATAGGCAAGTGCTCTACCCCTAAAGGCTATACTGCAGTCCTCATGTTTTCAATATTTTGGTGGAACTTATGGAGGTCTACAAAGACTTCTACAAAATGCTTCACTGAGTTTTCTTAGGGATTCTTCCTTTTATTCTCCTTTTGTTTTCTATTCCCTAGCCTCTTCTTCCACTATGTATTCACTAATCAATGGAAAATTTTCAGTTCCTTTATAGGCTAATGGCACCATCTTTGTGTACCTAGTCAGTGATTGACTGAAACTTTGTTATGAGGCACATGACTGTGCATGAAATCTGGGGTGAGATTTCCTTTAAATTATTACCAGAGAAGAAGAGTGAGTTGGCACCTAGATGAAAGTCTGTTGATACCAGTTGATAATTGTTGAAATTGGTGAGGGATAAAGGAGCAACAATATACTCAATTGTTTATTTTTATGCATGTCAGAAATTCCCATTTAAAAAGATCTAAATTCTACCATATAAGAAAATGAATGCAATTATACTGAAAATACACACCACAAATGTGAGGTGGGCAGGAGGGAGGAGACAGTAACAAACTGCCTATTAACCATGGAACTCGTCATTCAACATAATTGTGTGGACACCTGTAAAGAACCAGGTTTTGTAGTAGGTCCTGGGGATACACAGTGAACTAGACAGATGAGGTCCGTGCCCTCGAGCAGCCCACACATCTGTGATGGATGGGATCAAGCATTTGTCAGGGTTGTGACCCATGCATTTTTCCTGATATATGTGATATAAATTTCCAGATATCCTTGACCAGACTCTACCATAAATATGTCCAATCTCAAAAATCTTACCAACTTCATATCACAGGTAGACAGGAGTAATTCAAGCCGACAAGCATGCAAGGCGATTGAGTGAACTAATCAGGACTCATTTACCTTTTCTGCTTTTCAGTTTGAAGAGAAATTCATGAAAACTCGAGAAGACTTGGAAAAGTTAAGAAATGGTAAGAACAAATATCCTAATACCTCTTAAGAGAGTTCCTAGTGGAAGATTGAAAACCAGACAATACTCTTGTTTTTGTGAGGATGGCAGTACTGACAGAGGAGAGGTAAGAAAGTGGTTAAACTGTAAGACCTGGCAACTCTCTGGGGACTAAAAAAAGGTGAGGCCTTTGTGAATCCTTGCTAAGGAACAATCTCAGGGCCCCCTGCATGCCCTCTTCTTGCTTTCTTCATATGCTGAATGGAATTAGCTCCTGGCCAGTCGCAGGCTCCCCATATTCTTCTAAAATAGCCCCGAAGTTGGGCTAAACACACAACCATTCAGGGACACACAATGTATACGGATGGATGGAAAATTAAAACAGCTATGAGATATGAGGCTAAACGTAAAGCAGTTGGATAAGTAAAAGAAGAAACAAAAACTAAAAATAAAGTGGTATGTTACTCAAAAACATACCAAGCAATATTTTTCCCCTTTCCATCTTCAGTCATTTTCACAACTGTTCTACTTTGTGAACACGTCTGACCCACAGACATTTTATTCTGTTTGTTTTCTCCTTCCACAAGATGGGAGTTTGATGTTCCAGCAGGTGCCCATGGTGGAGATCGATGGGATGAAGCTGGTGCAGACCAAAGCCATTCTCAACTACATTGCTGCCAAACACAACCTCTACGGGAAGGACATAAAGGAGAGAGCCCTGTACGGTATATTTTTTATTTTAAATCAACAGATAACATGGGAAGGATTTAGGTCGTTCCTTAAGTGGGATAAACCATGGCTGGGGGATCATGAACAGCACCAGGCTGACTCTGGGCATATTGCATAGTTTCTTTAGTATGAATGGGTAGAACACTCATATGAACAGTGACAGAATGTAGACTAGTAGTTTCTGAGATCAATTTGGGAGAGTGCTATGGAGATGCAGGAAGAGTAAGCATGGAGTGGATTCAGGGCAGTGTCATGCAGAGAAGATGCGGTTCATAGAGTTTTGCAAATCTTGAGGAACTATGGATTCAGGAGGATGGTGGAATCCTGATTCCATTTGCTTAGCTTTAGAGGTTAAACTCTAGGCAATAGCTTGGGACAGGGAAAGGATTTGAGTGTCTAGACTTGAAAGCCTGTGAAGGAAATATCTGAATCACCTGATTTTCCATTTCCAAAAAGTACAAGACTCACTGGCAGGAACCTAAACTACCCTCTTCTTCTACAGATGGGTCAACTTGATGAGGGCTGGTATGAGTCTGTGTCAAGACATGAGGGTGATGCAAAGCATTTCAAGTAGACTTGAAGAAGCCCACTGACTCAGCACTGGGGTTTAGTTCTCCTCCCTCCTTGGCTGGAACTGCTTTATTGAAAATGACATCTTGTTTGGAACTGTGGAAAGTTCCTCAAAAAGTTAAAGAGTTACAATAACCCAGCAATTTCAGTACTAGGGATATACACAAGAGGAATAAAATACATTCTGAGTGGTATTTGTACACAAATGTTCATAGCTCATTATTCATAATACCCAAGAAGTGGAAGTAAACTAAACATGCAGTGGATGAATGAATGAAGGAAGGTTCTCTAGTCATACTGGAATAGTATTTGTTGTGCAAAGAGATGAAGTACTGATGCATGTGGCAACATGAATGGACCTTGACAACATTATGTCACATAGAAGAAATCAGGCTTAGGAGGCCACATATTGTATGGTTTATCTAGCATGAATGTGCAGAACACTCATATGCACAGGGACGGAAAGTAGATTAGTGGTTTTGGAGCTGGTAGGAGAGGTGGTATACATGTTTTTGTAATCCATCCAGCATGGTAAAAATGTTGTGGAACTGGAAAATGTTAATATTCTGTGAGTGTACTAAAAAATTCACTGAATAGTAGACTTTAACTGAGTGACATTATGATGTGCACATTTGTCAATAAAACGGCTTTTAAAAAAGAATTTTGGAAAACCTGTTTGAAGCAAAAGAAATGAGGCTCTCCTATACTATACACATACTATAACTATATAAAGAATTGCACCAAATCTTGGGTGGAGGCCTCAAGAAATGCAATCATGATCAGCATTGGGCAATCCTACATGGAAAATGTTAGGGATCATGATTTATGAGAAATAATAGGGAGTACGTGATTTCTAACATCGAACATGAAAATGATCCTGTACTATATGATAAGAAGAGCGAGGGAGAGGGACTTGTCTGAGAGGCTGGGCCAGGGACTCTGTCTTCAGTTTACTTATGCACATAGAGCATAGCCTATATGTACTACCAGTGTTTACAGACACCAAGTTCTCTACAGACCTTAACTTGTTATGTCCCAGTATACTCTTTGGAATCGTATGTGGTCAGGTGTATTACAAAAATTTAGACATGTCCTCCCTATAGGTTGCTCTAAGAAATAAAGGTTAATCTATAAATAAAACCCAGAAGATTGTAACTTGATTTTGAAGGGTCCCTACTGGAGGTGAATTATTTTGCTATTGTATGATGTGCTCTATTTTCTTGGATTTCTTTTTTAAAATTTTTTAAATTTCTTTTTTTAAAAAATAAATGACAGTGGATTGCATTACAATTCTTATTACATGTATACAGCACAACTTTTCATATTTCTGGTTAAATATAAAGTATGTTGACACCATTTCGGTTCTTCACACATGTACTTTGGATATTGATGTCCATCACATTCCACCATCATTGCTAAGCCCCTGCCCCCTCCCTTTCTCTCCCTCCCCTCTTCCCTATCTAGAATTCATCTATTCCTCCCATGTTCCCTCCCCTCCCTTCTCCACTATGAGTCAGCTTCATTATATCAGAGAAAACATTCAGCATTTGTATTTGGGGGGGGGATTGGCTAATATCACTTAGCATTATCTTCTCCAAGGCCATCCATTTAACCTGCAAATGCCATGATTTTAATCTCTTTTATTATTGAGTAAAATTTCATTGTGTATATATGATACATTTTTTTATTTATCCATTCATCCACTGACGGGCTTCTAGATTGGTTCCACAGTTTAGCTATTGCGAATTGTGCTACTATAAACATTGATGTGGCTGTGTCCCTGTAGTATGCTGTTTTTAAGTCTTTGGGATAGCTGGGGAGGGATAGCTGGGTCAAATGGTGGTTCCATTCCCAGTTTTCTGTTTTCTTGGATTTCAAAACTATAAAATCTGGGACAGAAGGCATTTGACAGAATACTTGTTTTTTTGCTTTCAGAATTGATATGTATACAGAAGGTATGGCAGATTTGAATGAAATGATTATTTACTACCCATCCCTTCCACCTGGAGACAAAGAAGGAAGACTTACCCAAATCAAAGAGAAAGCAAGAAACCGTTATTTTCCTGCCTTTGAGAAAGTAAATGGAAGCTGTTTCACCTTCAGGGCACCTTCTAAACTGAAGGCTGATGGGATGAAGCTGGGGCAGCCCAGAGCCCTTCTCAACTATGCTGTCACCAAATACAACCTCTATGGGAAGGACATAAAGAAAAGAACACGGTTTCATGTATTCTTACATCAACATGGGAAGGATTTACATTATAGCTTGGGTGAGAAGGACCAGGGTAGGGGGATCATGACCAGAATCAGGCTGGCACAAACACTAGCTTTCTCTTTATCTGAGAAAGGCTTGCCTATTGATGGGAGAATCCAGTGGAAACAAGGGAAAAGTCACATAAAACAGGATGCAGCACAGTGATAGAGTTTAGAGAGTGTCTCAGAGTCTAGAGAGCATTTTAGTCCTAACAGGTTATCTTAGCACTTGGGAATGCTATGTGAACAATGCCATAGACTGGAAGGTTAAACATCAGACATATTTCTCATAGTTCTGGAGGCTCAGAAGTTACAGATCAAGGACTGGTGGATTGGTGTCAAGCAAGCCTTGCTTCTTGGTCCATGAATGGCTGACTTTGGGCTATGTTCTCCTATGACAGATGGGTCTAAGGTCTCATTATATGTGCAGTAGTGCCATTCCTGAGAACTCTTCCCACAGGACCTAATATGTCACAAAGGCCCCACCTAACAGCATTGGGATCACAACTTATGAGTTTGGGGGACTCAGACATCCTTAACATAAGAGAAGCAGGAGAAAAACAGTGCCTGGGATTCCTTGGACACTGACCTTCCCTTCCAGAGGGCCTTCTTGCATACTGATTTAGTACTCTGGCACTCAGGCATTGTGTGAAGATAGACTGGGAGAAAGGCTTCCACTAGTGATACCAAGTTCAAAGTTTTAATTACTAGAATTAAAAACTAGAATTCTCTATGTACAGAATTCATAGTACAGAATTAGGCCTTAGGCGTTGGGAAGTTCTGAGAACACTGGAGGTAAAGCTAAAAGAGTGCTCTAAATTGTAGCACAAATATGATGTTGTGGTTTGTTCTCGTACCAAGCAATTGTTCACACTTCTCTATTTATAATTAATCTGATAGGTTTGTTGACAAAATATTTTGTTTAAGTGGGAGTGCCATGGGGTTTTTCTTTATGCTTCATCATTTCAATATTGCTGAGATATTTAAACAAATTTCAAATATTACCCCAAGATTTCTTTTGTGAAAATATTAATACATTCATAGATATTAAAAGAAAGTTTAAAAACCCATAACTACACATCCCAAAATAGTAGAATTTACATCTTATGATGTCAACTTTATCACGTGCCCCTCTCTCTACTCCTGTTTTGCCAATCAAACATATTGCTTTTCCCATGCATTTCATACTAAGATGCAGATGTCAGTGCAGTTCACACCTAGATAATGCAGCATGCAGATTGCAACTTAGTGTTCAAAGCCAATGTCACAAAAGATATGATGATTGAAGTTTGTTTTAGATCCTACACACATAAGCAGCAAATTGAGAAATCAGACAAGAGGAAAAACAGAGATACTGAAATTATATACTCATAGGGGAAAGTGCTTATTAAAGTGGAGACACTGGGGCTGGGGGTTGTAACTCAGTGGAAGTCCGCTTGACTAGCATGTATGAGGCACTGGGATGGATTCTCAGCACCACATATGAATATATGCAAAATGAAGGTCCATCAACAACTAAAAAAATTTTTTTTTTTTTTAAAGTGGAGACTGGAGAGAAAGAGAGAGCAGAGGAGAGAGAAATATCCTGAAATTACCTGCTGTGCCATTTAGAGTGTGGGGCTCAGGGAAAGGCAACACAGCAAGGTCATGCCCTTGGCATGTGTGGAAGACATAGGTCATGGTAAAGGGTGTGAACAATGCAAGAATGTATGAAGGAGAATGAAAGGATCATGCTGGATTTCAGAGAGGAGGGAGCAAAGCCCCACTTCTCACTCTCCCTTCTGAGTCAGGGACCTGGAGAAAGATCTGCAGCTTTATACCTTCCCAGGAGGCAGCAGTTGGGGCCAGTTGAGCTTAGAGGCTCAGGGACAAGCTGGGGCCCCAGTCTGGCTATGTGTGTTCATGAGCTGACTCCTCCCATTCTGCAGGTGTTAAAGAGCCATGGGCAAGACTACCTGGTTGGCAACAGGCTGAGCAAGGCTGACGTTCACCTCACTGAACTTCTCTACCACACAGAAGAGCTGGACTCCACTGTTCTGGCCAACTTCCCTCTACTGAAGGTGCTCTCTCTCAAGTCCTCACAGAGGCCCACACCTCCCATCAGGAATCTAACATCTAAACACTGGGGCTGGTGGTGTTCTGACTTCTATCCATCTCTAGGCTTCACCCTCCCTTCCCTGGACTCCAGAAAGGTCTTCTAGGCTCTGATTCTGTGGAATGAAAAGAATCGTGCTATGCAAGGACATTTAAAGTGGATGCTTCTCTAAGAAGTATATTTAGCTTGGATAATAAGTGAAACCAAGGGCCCAGCTTTCTCCTCCCAGCCCCTATTCCATTTGAATTCTGATCATGACTTCCTTGGGAATCCCTTCATCCCATGTATGCCCTTGTCTTTCCATGCTGAGCAGGTCTCCTTCCATCTGTCTTCCTTCCTCCCCCTCAGGTTCCCAGCCTCAGACATTATATTTCACTCTGCAAACCCCCACCCTCCAACAATCCCATCTTTATCTCTCAGTGTGAAAATTTGTAGTGACTGCCATCTGGATTTGCTGGTCTCTTTCTATCATCGTTTCTAACTCAGTTTTCCCATATCTTCTTTTCACTCTGTCTGAGTGATTCTTTTATCCATACATGACGGGCACATGTCACATATTTTTTTCTTATATCATTCAGTAGCAATGAATCTACAGGATTAAAGTGTAAGGCAGATGAAAAGAATGCTGGAACGGAATACAGTTTTAAAGAGAAGTTGGGGGAATTGTTATTGAGCTTTATTTTCTAGCTCTTATCTTTTTTCTCATTGGTGATGTTTCCTAGACAGCATGCTGTGCTGGTGGAGTGATTCAGACTTCCTGGTTGTATTAATGAGTATTGGTTTGGGCTCCACTCTGAGGCTGTGGTCTGAGGCTCCACTTCTTCATTGCAGGCCCTGAGAACCAGAGTCAGCAACCTGCCCACAATGAAGAAGTTTCTGCAGCCTGGCAGCCAGAGGAAGCCCTTTGATGATGAAAAATGTGTGGAAGCAGTAAAGAAGATTTTCAGTTAAATGAGGCTGACATAGAGCCATAGCACATACAATACAGGGCTGTATTCAAAAGATGATCTTGATTACTAACAGGCTAACAAAGTTTCCCCAAATTTAAATTAGAAATGAGCTATGCAGACTTCTTTGCAATGCAGTCTATTTGGTTTTAGTGAGGTTTATAACCATGATTACTTCTTGGCTATCTCTTTAATTTGGATAGAATGAAAAAGTTTCTTAAGCTCGATCTATTAAGAAAAACTGCCTTATATCATCTGTCATGAACTATCTCAAAGAATTAAGTAGAAATTTTCATCTGACATTCTGCTTAGGCAAAAATATATATTTTTTTGTTTTGTGTTTTGCTTCCTTTCTCACCAAAACACTTTAAAAACCACCTATAAAGAATCATTTTCTTTCAATTTTTTTCCTCTTAATTATTCAATGTATATTTACCAGCATGAAATATTCTGTGTTCTTGGAGCCAGATAATCAATGATAAAAAAAAAAAATCCTGATACATTCTCTACACTCATGGCAATGGATCTAGTGAGAGAAATAAACAAAAAACGGATAAACTAATCTAAAATCATGCACAGCATGTGTATCACCTTCCTAAGGCTGCCACAAGAAATTCCTACAAACCTGCTATGGTTTAAAATAATGGAAATTAATTCCCCTACAGTTCTGGAGCTAAGTGGGGAGTCCAAGTATGAGCCATGCCCTGGTCTCTCTGAAGGCTTCATGGAAGGCTCCTTCTTAGCCTCTCCCTAGTGTCTGACAGGTGCTGGCCATTCTGGGAGTTTTTCAGTTTTTTTGTCACAACACTCTAATCTTCCCTTTCATGGTCACAAGACATTCTCCCTGTATGTGTTGTCTGTCCAAACTGCCCTCTTCTTATGAGGATACCACCAGCTGGATGAAGAGCCACCCTATTCCAGGGTGACCTCACCTGTACTATTTCTGCAGAAACCCTTTTTCCAGATGAGGTCACACTGACAGGTAGTCAAGGGTAGGTCTTAAACATAGCCCTCTCACAGGACAGATTTTCTCCTACAACACCATGCTCAGAGGAGTTAATGTTGGGAGGGCACCATCAGTAGACATCTGCTGGGATCTGTGAGTGAGACAGGTTTCTCAAGGAGGGGAGTCATATCTGAGGTGAGATGAGCAGAAGGGACTATCAGTGAGGGGGGGTGGCACCAGCACTGGGCAGCAGGAGTAGAATCCAGGCAGAGGTCAGCACAATCAGTGGCCAAGAAGAGGCCAAGCACTAAGTATTTCAGGAAAGAGAACACAGCTGCTCTCAGGGGAGCATTAAAGCATAAGACAGGAACGAGTGACCCTGAGGGGACATCAGGGAACAGGGCTCAGAGTTTGGAGTAAAGACTTTGAAGACCATAGAAACAAGTTAGATTTTGTCTCGAGCAAAACAAAAAGTCATAAAGTAAACCCACACACCTTATCTTGCCAAAATGACATAAAATCACATTTAAAAACTGTTCTTTAAAGTAACTCAGAAAAATGTCATTTTCCCTCACTGAGAGTCTCTTATGCATGTTGAAAGATAAGTTTAGGCACATTAAATTTTTAACAGGTTTATTTCAGGAGACAGAATTTCATGTATCTGGCATTAACAAACCAGAATGATTAGGCCACCAGCCAGATGGATGTGAGAGGAAAATTATAAGGTAATAAAGGAAACAAATAAGGAAAATATTTGTTTGGTTAAAATGGAAAGTCACTGGTTAGATGTCAGCCAGCAGTTTCTGATGAGATGAGCTTTAGTTAATATTTCCTGAGCACATGACCTTCCTGATGAGTCCGGTTTCAGTTTATATATAGAGACTTAGGGACCTGAGATCTCTCATCCTAGTGACCTCAAATTAACTATTCTAAACACCACATTATATCGGGTACCCAGGGGGCTTACTCCATTCAAGGAATCCAGTAGCTCAGAAACAATACCTGAAAATCTGAATGGTCCTCTGCTGCCATCTGCACACACTGCCCCTGCTGTCCCCACCATTTTTCTACCCGAGCAGCAGCATTCACAATCCCTACAGGAAGGGAAGGAAGAGGAGGTCTCCTTTAAATCTGGAATCTCAAAATACAGATTGAGATAATTAGTCATTTGTTCTTTATCAAGCCTATGGGATCTAGGGAGTTGAATTTTCTGGCCTAGTTCCAGCTAGCCATTTTCATAGTGTTAGCTTCCCCACAGATGGTTCTGGTAGGGCAGTGGGTGACCTGGGACTCATTTTTTTTTTTTTAATGTCTATTCAATGTTAGGTCAACTGAGCCCAACCAAGATGTTCCTTCCTAGACAGCTTCCTAAAGGGTTTCCAATTCCCTTTGCACATTTACCTGCTTCCTAACACCTGGAGACTCCTTAGAAAATTAAGTGGGGGTGGGGGTGGGGGGTTCTGTTAAAAGCCCTTTCAACACTATCCTCTGGATCTGCCTTGAGAACAGAAAAACGTATTTTGCATTGTGGTATACATGAGACTTTGGGGATCTGAGGCAAATTTTTTCACCATAAATCTGGAATGTCCATCAAAAGACTACATTTGAAGGACTGTTCTTCAGTTTGGCACTATTGAAAGGTAGTGAAAATCTTTAAGAGGGGCATTTTTGCCTGCCTGAATGTGTGACTCTGAAGAGGATTGTGGGAAGCTGGTCTCTTCCTCTCCCTCCACCCTGCCTTAGCTCTTTTTTTATTCCTGGACGACATGATTTGAGCAGTTTTCCTCTGAAACATGTTCTTGCCATCCATGATATAGTGGCCCACCACAGGAACAAAAAAAAAAAAAAAAAAAGAAGCCTAAACAAAGATGTTGTGTCCGCTGAAAACTAAAAAAATAAATATTAAAATTCTCTCTCTTTAAACAAAAAAAAAAAAAAAAAAATAAGGCCAAATGAACCCTGAGTGAAATGCCTGAACTGTGAGCCAAAATAAAACTTTCCTCTTTAAAGATGATTATCTCAGGTTCTTTGTTATGGAAAGGGAAGCTGACTAACATGCTCTAGAACAAAGATTTTTTAACTCATCAAATCCAGAACTGCTTAGCTTATGACATATATTTAGAATTTCTTTTTATCCTGGAGTGAGTTTCCCAAGATTTACCTCATTGCTCTTGGTGCTGGGAATACAAGATTGAGGAATGCATAATAAACCATAATGAAAAAACTCTGCATAAAAGGAATTACAAATCAATATGTCACACTGGGCCAAGGAGCATCCCTGCAAGAAGCCAAAGAACCAGTCAAAAAGAGTGAGTGAAGCCAGACATGGTAGTACATACCAGTAATCCCGGCACTTAGGAGGCTAAAGCAGGAGGGTCACAAGTTCCAATTCACAATGAGCAACTTCATGAGACCATGTCTCAAAATAAAAAGTTAAAAATTAGTTGGGGTATAGCTTTGTGATAGAGCAACCCTGGGTTCAATTCTCAGTAAAAAAAGAAAAAATAGAAGAGCAGAGAGGCGGGCACTGAAGAAAGTTGAATGAAATACCTATTTATAAGTATAAGTATAGGATGAAGATCCCTCAAGTGGGGATTGGAGAACTCTGAAGCTGGCAACAGTAAGAAGACTCTACCACCCCATCCCTCAATGAGAAGTGCAGAAATGACAAGGTCCTAGTATAGGGACCTAGGAACACACTGAGAATCACACCTCCAAGATGGGCCACCTCCCAGAGCCTGATGGCCTTCAGAGAGGAAGATACCACTGTCAAACTAAACAGCCCAGAATGCAGGGACAGTTTATGAAATCGCAATATGACTCAAAATTGGGCAATGACTAAAGACCAATTTGTTCCACAGCTTTATCCATCTTTATCTGGCACACCATTTATATTAGTTAGAAAATAAGAAGAAATATATTTTTAATTTAAGATACATATGCAGACTTATATATGGCCTTTATCATAACAGATGTTAAATATTTCTAATGTTTCTCCTGGTAGTCTGTGATATAAAAATGTAAAGAAATCAACATTTGTTTTTTTTTTAATATTTACTTTTTAGTTGGACACAATATCATCTTTATTTTATTTATTTATTTTTATGTGGTGCTGAGTTTGGAACATAGGGCTTCGCACATGCTAGATGAGCACTCTAGTGCTGAGCCACAATCCCAGCCCAACATTTGTTTTTTAATCCACCATATTCAAAGAGAGGCTGCATGTGTGTATATTTGAGGTAAAGGTGGATGTCAACTTATCTGACTGAACTAGGGGGATTAGTTCAAGATGGGAGGAATTGTGTATGTTCAGTTTTCCAAAATATTCTTGAAGAACACATGTGTATTAGAGCTACTTAGATGGGGCAGGGTGAATCAGCACAATTTTAATCTTTGTAGACGTTGATACATAGGCCTTTAAAGTATCTCACACAATCTTTTTTCACCTTCCCTCTAAACTCCATAGTTGTTTGACTCTATGTGTCCTTGGGAACATTCAGTACAGTTGCAATGGTCTAAGTCAACAAGCCAACAAAGGAGAACTAATAGAAAAATGTTCAGACTTTAATCACAGAAATTGGTAGACTCTTCTCAAAGATTATGTTTCTTCTAAATGATATCTACTTGATTTCATTCCTTATTTTACCTAATATTTACTGATCACCCATTGTGTTCCCCAAGTTGCTTAAGGCATGAGGGCTATCATAAAGCAAATCCTGAATGAGAGAAAGAAGCTAACATGTGATGATCCAGGCTAAGACAACACCAGCCAGAAGGAAGATGAAGGCAGGGAACTTGGTCAGGAACAAGTTTGGTGTGTTTCAGGCCAGAAGGAAGGAAGAAAGGAGGGACAGTGTTATAGGGCCCTGGGGAGGAAGCACTGAAGGATGAGGTCAGAGAGGTGGGCATGAGTGTGCTAGCCATCTATTGCTGCACAGATTGCCATCAAATTTAGTGGATTAATACAACAAGCATTTATTATGCTCACAATTTTTAAAAATATTTTTAAATTGTAGATGGTCAGAATACCTTTATTATTTATTTATTCATTTATTTTTATGTGGTGCTAAGGATCGAACCCAGATCCTCACACATGCTAGGCGAATGCTCTACCGCTGAGCCACAACCTCAGCCCTATGCTCACAATTTGTGAGTGGAAATCAGGAATCTGGAAGCAACTTAGTGGAGGAATTCAGCTTCAGGATGTCTCAGGAGGTTGCAGTCAGTTTACCTTCAGGTACTGTCGTCACCTGAAGGATTAATTGTTGGTGGTCCTCTTCAGACATGGCCCCCTCACTCAGTTCCTCCCTGGAAAGTGGCACCAGATCTCAGTTCCTTGATATGTCTGCTCTTCTTTAGGGCTCTTGACTGTCCTTGTGACACTAATGTCCCAAGAGAGAGCAAGACACAAACTAAAAGGTCTCTGGAACCTAACATTGGAGGCC